CGTACGATGAAGGGCGAGAAGCGGCAAGATCGCGCGATTCTTTTCTTTTCTTTTGTCTGTTCTTTAGAAAAGCCCTTGAATAAAGCGCACACATACAAACAACGCTGAATTCTGCCGAAAAATGTGTAAAAACTCGAAAACATTCAGAGAAAGTTAATGTGCACGAAGAGAGAAAGAGATGATGCTCAAGATCTAAAAGTCGTTGCAAGAAAATCCTATGTTTTTGTGGCGTCTCTAGAGAAATTTGGATGTGTGATCAGCAGATTTTGAAATTGTGGACCAGCCAACGGAAGGATCAGAGAAAACTATGTCTGTGATCAGCCTTTGAGAGTCAGCGGACTATATTTTGAAGACATGTTCGTACTGGCCTTTTCCGTATTTGGGACGGTACCTGCCCGTGGATTTTCTACACAGAATGTTTGAATCGATCCGAAAGAATGGTTTTGTAGACTAGAGATGTTGGTGTGTGGTCCTTTGGTGGACCCTCTCATAAGTATTTTCACAAAATCTATACTCGCATAGCGGTTCTGTCTGTTTAAAAAAGAAATTTGTGTTGCAATTTGTGGCATGTTCACACATTGATGAATAACCACCCTAGCCAGGAAACGAATAAGTAGTGATTTACTAGTGCAGTTTTATGGGAGTAATACTAAAACTCTCGTCCATATAGAGGTCGGCTCTATCCGTGAGTTTAAGTATAGTAATACTGACCGTTCCGCACTTGCCTAATGTCAAATCTTGTGCATGATATACGAGAGATCGTCAAAGTTTACTTTGTAGTTTTGTGAAAAGTGAAATTTATTCGTTTTTGTCTGTTAAAATTAAAATTTCTATGTTACAGTATGTAGCATATTCATTCATTAATGAATAGCCAAGGAAACTAATAAGTAGTTATGGACACAATTCACGTGCTCCGAAAGCAATCACGTTTGCGTACAATATTTAGAGTTGGTTGTAATGTGATTGTATGTTTCGTTTGAGTTGTGAAAAACGGGAATCAAAACTTTTTCCCGGCGGTGGTGTGTCGTCCTTTGGTGGACCCTCTGATAAATACCTGCGAAAGATTTATTGTCTATGGGTCGGCGCGGAATGGCATACAGCGCTCATGTTTGCGGACGCACTTGTCGTGGGCAAATCATGTATTCAGCGTGTTTGCGTATTGATGCTGCGTCACTTCGGGTGTGGTAATGATTGAAAAACATGTTGGAAAGCAAAAAGTGGCATTGAAACAGATTGTTTGCCGTTTTTTTTTCTTTATTAATGGTCGCTATTTCCAACGAAAGAAATCTTTTTTCTGGTTTCATTTTGAGTGTTCTACCGTGATCGACAGAAGTAAGTGACAGATGATAGTTACCGAGGATATGACACAGTTCAAGCCAACGCTGCCGCTGCTGACAGTGTTAACTTCGCGATTTCTTGATTTTCACTTGTAGAAAGTTGATGATAAAAGGCAGGAAGTTTTTTGTTCATCAGAATTGCGAATTGTGGGAATGAATCACTTGTTTTGTGAATTGTTTTGCAACTGAACGTTGAGATATGTGGACATGTGGGATGTATTTGGAAATTCTGCGAAGAATATGATACTGCTATTGTTCTCTCAGTTGATAGACACCATACAGATGCTCGAATATGCGCGAATCGCAGTGGATATATCTGCTAGAATTGCTTAGTAGCAGCACTGAAGGACTGTTTATAGTACGTGTAACCTTCTTGCAAGCAGACTAAATTATTTCTAGTTCTTATTTATCTAGTACTTACACCGCGGAATAGTGGAGCCTTACACTATGGAATAGTGGAGCCTTCGACAACGAAGACTGTTACTGACAGTTGTTTTTTCTCCATTATAATATACAAAGTTCTCAAAATGTGCATAACTTTCCCTATTATATTCGAGACTTTCTAAACCTGTAACAAATTTCCAGCACAAGTAGTACATGGCTTGTCAATTAGTATGCAGAGTTTTTTGTCCCGTAAAACGCATCCGACTCTGGTCAAGTCGAATAAACGTAAACCGGCTGCGTTTATTATAAAGCAGTGGTGAAAGATAGGATTCTCCAGTTCTGATAAAACTCGTGTTATGATCGTATGTCACCATTTAATGAATAGGCGAGTAATCACTTTTACCCTTGCTAAAGACTCTGTTTCCCTGTTTAATGTATGCTCAAAACACAAACAGTACCAAAATGTCAAAACATGAGTATTTACGGTTTAAACGAGGCAGTATATTATGACACTCCAGCGTTCTCAGTCATCGTCGTTCATAGCCATTGTTACCGCTCTTACGATTATGAGATGCTTTGATCTGACTGGATCAGACGCAACATAACGCTTCCGCGGCCAGAAGTATAGCTTAAAATAAACATGAACAAAAATGATGCGCCCAACTTCAAGCCGAAAAGTCAAGAGCAAAAAAAAAAAGAGATATTTGACAGTGAACAGAAGATCAAGTCTTATTAGATATGAGTTCTAGAAGGGGAAATAATAGTAGGAACAATATTACCGTAATCGGTTTAGACAGATAAATTGGCTGAGACACTTTTTTTGTTGTCTTTTCTAAGAATTACAAGACAGAACTTCTTTGATGAATCACTGAATTTTACTTATGAAGTTTCTCATTTTTCGGACACGCTGCCTAGAATCCAACTTAATCAAAATTAGAAAAAGCATTGAAGATGTCTGGAAACAGCAAAGTGACACCGACCGATGTCATACTCAGTTCTACAAAACTCTCGTCATCATCTGCTCCCCAGGAATCGACTAATTCAGATAAAGAACTTCAGTATTTAATGAATTACGTGAATAGTAAGAAATGCTATCATTCTTCGGGCGTTGAAAATGCAAATGTAGTCAATCGGCAGCAAAAAATCGCATTCCAAGTCCAAATATGGACATTAATGGAGAAACGATCGGTCGTTCTAAAAGAGCAAGCATTCGATAACAGACCTACACCTGGTGAAGATTTGGAAGATATGTTCAATGACAAATATGCTTATGCAGCATCGGAAACTGTTGTATCTGAAAAAACACGCGGATCTATTGATCTGCTTAATACAAGGAAGAAAGTGATCTGCCCATCTTGCCAGGGAAAAGGATTAAAACCTTGTCTTTTGTGTAACGAAAGTGGTGTAAAACTAGGAAAACCCTGTCTGATGTGCAATGGTCAAGGTTCATCAGTATGTACTAGATGCTCAAAAGTCGGTCATGTGGTTCAATGGAACAAGCTGACTGTAGAATGGAATACAGTGTATTCTGTAACCTACCCAAGAAATACATTTCTACCCGATAGTTGTATTCACAAAACGGAAGGTAAACAGATTGTTTTTAATGCCGATGAAGAAAGCGTAAATCAGTCCTTGGAATCCACCTATCCACATCTTCTCGCAGATATCGACGCAAAAAGTCCCCATAGTTTCAGAGCAGTCATCCAAAAGCAATTTACAGATAGCCATTTTAGTAAAATAAGCAATTCGACGCACATACGTCGGATCAAGTGCTTAATTCAGCAACTCAGCATTACCGAAATAGATTATCAGTCTGGTACGCTCATGAATGCAAAAGATGCACCGAAGGGTAAGTAGGAAACTCCCTTTTACGTCTTGTTTGTTGCCACTTATATCTATTTTATTATTTGTTTATTTTAAATAGGTCCTCAAGTGTTCACATTCCTTCTATACGGCGGAGACGAAAACAAAGATCCTGAGGTCTATGAGCAAGACTATCCCTTGAGCTCTTGCGGTTGTTTGGGTGCTGGATGCGCATGTCAATCAAGGTTCTGCGTCATCTTTTAGAAGACTTTGTTTATCATGTGATCAAAATAAACAATAGATATGGCTTCTCTTCAAAATACTTTTTATCTCAATCCTTTCTTTTTTGGTTGTAGATTAAACATCAATAAAGTAGTCTGACTTTAAGAGAAATATTGAAGTTCTTCTCCAAGGAGTCTTCCATTCTCCAGTGTTATCTGTTCAGAACTATATATTAGACATTTGCAGTACTAAAAGAACAGTTAAGGTCCTGGCTTAATACAACCTTATACGATAAGTTATGAGGTGCGATGATCGACAAATTATCAGAAAATTTGATAAAGCCACGACAAGATACGTAATAGTTCAATTCAGTTCACTCGCAAGAGAAACTTATGAACAGAGTATAACCAAATAGTAAAAAGTCTACTCACCTAGAACAAGCACAACTAGGTATGCACCGAGCTTCGAGTTACCCGAAAACTCGAACCGAACCGCCCGAAGTTCGAGCTACCCGAAAATTAAAGTTTTTTTTTCTGATGGGTGTTATTCTCAGGCCTGTAGATTGAAGAGGATCCCACACTTTTATACTATTTTGCATGTTAACTGCATTTTACACTTTACGCAAGTAATCTGAACTCTTACATCGCTTTAGTATTTTGCCATAAAAAAAAGTTCTTTCTTCTTTCACTTGCTAGACTGTAAAATGAAGGTAACATGCAAAACAGTATAAAAGTGTGGGATCCTCTTTAATCTGGAGGCTTGAAAATAACATCCATCAGAAAAAAAACAGACTTTTATTTTCGAGTAATATCTGACCACAACCGGATCCGATCTGCCTACAACGGCAGCATCCTAAAACTTAGAGGCTATATCAACTTTTGCTTTAGTCGTTGAGACCTCTCTTTCATAAAAGTTTCAAATACGTGTGATGAAACTGTTCTCTTGAACGCCAGAAACGAGCTGCAGTTTGGTTAAGTGGAAGGAAACGATCGAGTAAGACAAATGCTGTGCTTTGGGCTCTCATATAATACAACACGTAATCAATCATCTTTAGAACAATGTGTTAGCTTCATTCTTAGCGACAAAACTTATTACTTAATTAAATACAGAATGCGTTTGAAGGAACAAAATTCGGAAGATATAATAAATCAAAAAAACTTCAAAACCGAAGTTAGTCGGCTATAAAAAACCAGACTTGTAGAAATTATGAAAAACATCGTTTCAATATGAGATCTATAGTTGTTAATCTCATTTAACAATACCAATTTTTTGCGCTTTCAGCAGTAGAATTGAATATGTAAAATATATCGTAACATCGTTGATAAGAACTCGTCAGTTATGCCTATAATTGAGCCCGTTTATGTACTGATTCTCGACTTTAAAAATATGAGTCAATGCAACGGAATTCGTCCGTTGTTCGATTAGCCAATAGTATCAGTTAATCAGGTGTGTTTATTGTTCTGTCGTAGGCAATCAGAAGTTTTCGTGATTACTTCACCCAATCAAGTGTTTTTGACGCTCCCACTCTCATTCTAGCGATTCAGAGTATATCCTATTATATATCTTCAAAGAAATTTGATTGACTGTGGGAAAATCTCAAGAAAACCGAATTGGTTAGAAGAGAATTCTAAAAGATACATGATTGTCTGGGATGAAAGATTCTGATTGACCAAGAAAAACTTATTGAAGTAATCAAAGAAACGAACCACAGCTGTAAATGAGCTTCTATGAACAATTACGTGGATGACCTCGATCGCTTAACAGAGTTGTTTACAGCTGCTCTATATGGTGACTTACGACATTGTCCAATCCTCACTTGCAGTGACCATAAATTTACGATAGCCATGAACAACACTTTGTGCGGTCATTATTCGTAAAGCTCGTAAAATGTCGCGGTTCCCTCTATGCAAAAAAAAAGCTATACACGACCTACTCAACGGATAGTCCCCGTTATCCATCGTTATCGATCGGTGTACGGCTGTGTATGATCGCGACCGATAGATCTGGCTCTTTTACTAATACCAGTTGAAAGACTTTGACGATTAGAGCAATGTAGTACTTCAGTTGCTCGGCTTCTCTACTAAAAGCGCCTGTCTGTCTTGTCAGTGTAATATTGCCTTTCGTTTGATGTTTATTATTAATCCGTCTCAAATTTGTTAACTTCAACGTCTGCAGAACACTATGGCACTCGTTGCCAATGCGACTAATGGTAGTAAGATATTGTTTCCTTGAAAAGGTCTCCTTCATAAAAATTTTTAATCAAACATTGCATATACTGATGCGTAAGGGTGGCACTTTCACTTTCCTTTCATTTTTCAAAGGAGAGTTTTGTGACTTTCAACTTTTCTTTGTCAAAAAGAAAGAAAAGGACAGTCGAAAAACTCTTTTTGCTTTTCGTGTTCTAGAAGAGACAACTATATCTCCTATGCTTTTCTATCGAGAAAAAAATCAAAAAAATCAAAAGAAAAGCAAAAAGAAAGCAAAAGAAATGTAAACAGATTACTTTACCAAGACCTTTTGCTCATATTTGTGTTATTATCCTTGCACGACTACTATCATCGCCATGACCAAGAAATTTTAAAAACGTAATAGATTCAACTTTCTTTCACCTTCCTTTTACTGTTTGTTTACGTCTTGATTTTTTCTCGGTAGAACCACACAGGAGATTAGATATAGCTCTCTTCTAGATACATGAAAAACGAAAAAAAGAAAGTTTCTCCACTTCCCTTTCCTTTCTTTGTAGGAAAGTTGAAGGTCAGAAAACTTTCTTTCTTTTTTAAAGTAAAATAAAAGTAAAGTGCCACTCTTCCTGATGCGTCCATTAAAATGAAAGTATTGCGTGTGTCGGAAATGGGTTCTATAGATACAGCGGGTTGATTAATGTAGCACATGTGGCGAATTCTACAATACATTAAAGATGATCTCTAAATCGAATTGTGTGCAACTTATGTACACAAGAATGCATCCCATTATTTTTTCAAGGGGATGCATAGCATTTTTTCGAGCGGTGACTTGTTTCGCTGCTACATCGGTTTCATTTCTTTAGTTTGTATTTGCTTTCGTTCACGGAATCATACGGAATTTAAACATATACTTCATTATTTTGTTTTCAGACTTCGGAATCAACAACACCTGCGCAAAATGGGATGTTCTGTCGCTACAGTGCGACTCAAGCCAGTCAAACCAGGTTTGTTACCGAAATAAAACAGTTTTTATATCTTTTTTTGATATTTCTATTTAACTAGAGCACCGACACAGAAAAGTGTTTGATTTTGGGATTTTGACTTATGTAAACGTGATGTGAACTAGTGGCGGATCTAGAAAAAATTTTCAGTGCTGGCGGCCGGTACCACCAATACGGCCGTAAATGCGTTACTGATGTGAACTGAAGTTTTGAGAAACATGGCCATATGATACTTGTTAAGAGTTTCCAGGAATCTCAAGTGAATTTTCAGTAGATTTAGTTAAAGTTGCGGATTTTTTACCGATGGCTTGTTCATTTATTAGGGCATAGCAGACCATAACCCCAGTAGTTGTTGAAATCGGAAAATAATACCCAATAAAACAGAATTAAAATAACGCTGTGAAACGGTCACAGAATAATGCTATAAAATGGCTCTCTGGTGGTCGTGTAAGTGATTTTTATCGATCGCGGAAATACATCTAGTATAAAAATTTTAAGATATTAGTCTATGACCGTTTCACATCGTTATTTTTACTTTTTAATGGTCATTTCAATGTATTTTCTTTCTTCACAGCTACATGTATGCTTAAATATCGTCTTTTGGTAGCATATCTAGCCATACATCTCGGTTGTTTTCCTGAATGTCTCATTGCCTAAGATTCTTGTTAAGATCTTTTCTTTCTTTCTCATGCATTTTTTGAGAAGCGATGAGTGACTGCAGACTTTGTCCCGATAAATAGTAGTGAATGATTTGCTGTCGTGATTGACGTTCGACAGTGACATACAACTGACTGATATTACGTCTGTTCTGCTTAATATATATCATAATTATGACAAAGTCTGCAGTCACTCCTCGCTTCTCAAAAAATGCATGAGTGAAGAAAGAAAAGATCTTAACAAGAATCTAAGGCAATGAAATATTTAGGAGAATAACCAAAAAGTATGAGAAATTGTGCAGCAAAGAAAGTCTGAATTGAAAAGAAGAACACTGAAAGAAAGGAATCATAAAGAAAAATACTGTCGGCCCCAAAAATAAAATTCTTAGCTGACGTTTGTGAACGAAAATAGCCCGTGATCTACGGTATCATCAAAAGAGTATACTTGAGGAGTAGATGTGTGTGAAACTCTATTAGTCAGCAACTCTTATATGACAGTTGAAGATACGCTTTGTTAGACGCCTTACATGTTGTTCGAGATGATTAGATCAGCTTGAGAAAAGAACAAACAAGCCACTGGACTTAATATAAAGTATGAAGAGGTTGTTCAACAGAGTCCCGAACTGACCTATTCGATTAGCGAAAATCAATAATTGCTAGCGGGTGTACCTCTCAGGTCACCTAAGCGAACAATATTCTTTCCCGATTCTGGACACTCGTAGTTGTTGTGTTCATCTCGTATTTGCCGTCTTGCGCATTGTTGTCTAAAAAGCCAGTTATTCTCGTTCACTGAGAAAGCCATTTATACTGAGGAAAGAGGAAGGCAGGTGAAAACGGTCAAGATACAAGACAAATTATGGTTAGGGTACTGTCTAAGTAACGGAAGCAAATTCAACCGAAACTCATGAGAAGACTGTTCACTGGCAAGAGGAGCTACTGGGAATATTTCTCTCTGGTTTATAGATTTCAATAATTGCTTATATTATCCGTAAATTTATTGTTAGCCAAACGTTTCGGCTTGGTAAAGCCTTTATCAATGGCACATAATAAGAAAACGGTCAAACAACTGAAAATAAAACT